TTAAATTTCCAAACCTAATCGGCCATACAGTGACAACATTTAGGTATTTTCTTCCAAACAATACATAAATTCTTTATACTCAAAAAAAGAAAAAAAAATAGTAATGCTCAAGTTACTCTGTAATTTTGATTTACTTATAATAATAATTACTGAATTTGGTGGTTGTGTTCTATGAACTTTGTTTTACTTTACTTTGTTTTACTTTACTAGAATATTGCTAAAGTTTTTAAAGTAATTTTATAACAAATTATAGGGATTGCTGCATATAAGGTAATATTTTAAAATCACATTTAATTCTTAAAGTAAATATTGGAAGAGATATAAGGGAAAAAAGAGAGAGTAAATTTTACTAGAGGTAAAATTTCTATTTTAACCCACAGGGCAGAGTCATGCTGATTCTGCCATTATCCCAATATTATATCCTACCCATAGCACCAATTACCACATTTTAACTCAAGGAAAGATGAATACTGTGTAACTGGTGCATTTTGTTAAGTATTTAAACTAGATAAGTTGAAATGCAAAATTTGAAAGATATTATCAAGGAATACACTTGTTTAGCATGATGAATGTTATCAAAAGATCAGTCATCAAGAGCATCATAATAGAATAAATCTGTGAGGCAGTGGTTAAGCCAAAAGCATATTCTGGATTGCCACCTTTTCTATTTGTTGTAATTATTAGAAATGTTAATAGGATAGCATCCAACTTGACTAAAAAGGAAAACCTTCACAAGGAGTATTTATTTGATGTATTTTTTTGCCAAATACCATGTTCTTTATTCTGATAGATATAGTTTATAAGATAAAAATTAGGAGCCTAATACTTGAGTGAAATACTGGAAATGGTAAAATAAATAATGCTGTTATGAAGAATAGAGACTTAACTGCAGAAAGCAGCTTTAAAATATATAATAAATACCCATTACAGGCCATGCAATAGTTGTGTTTTTTCTGTCTTATTTTGTATGTCTACTGTATACCTGTAAATAAAGTGCTTTAAGTTTATTTTTCACATTTGTCTTTTCATTAAGCAAGTGCAGTCTTATATATGATACTCAGTGATGCTATTTTTCTTTTAAAAAGGATAGCCATTATTATTTTGAGAAAACATTGACTACTTTTTCCATAAACACAGCCACATCTCAGTGAATTTGTTAAATGTTTTTCTCATGTCATCACATTCTGTGTTTATGTTTATATGGACTTATTATGTACTTATTATGAATTATATATGAATATACATAGATAAGTATAGGTATAATGATATATTACAAATGTACACATATATAATATATAAATGCATATATATATATAAATGTACATATTTACAAAGTAATAAGATAAATAAGGAGACAACCAAAAATAAGCAATTTTATTTTTCTCATTCTGAATCAGGAAAGTTCCTTATACTAAAATGATGATTTGGCTCAGAACAACTCATTTAGCCTCAATGTGGGCTGAATTCTTCATCTGTTGATGGAAAAGCAAACATGGGATTCATTTATTTATACTTATCATTTAGCAGTTAATATATGTATTTTTCCCCCACAGAAGTTTAAGCAAATAGTCAAATACCTTGTTGGAGAGGTTTAAATCCTCAAGAAGAAATAAAGTGTACTGCCAAGTTGTAAGCTAAACTCCTAGAAGGCAATAAAAAAAAGATTTTGTTTGTGTTTGTTTTGCTTTCTTTTGCTTGGCTTGATTTTCATTGGCATTGTTTGTGGTATTAAGTGAAGTTTCACCATCTCTTAGAGAATAGATTGTTGGAGCTACTATAGTGTTAGATATGTGGGACTGGATATCCCCTTGTTAACAAAAGTTGGTGTTTTTACTTTGTTTTCTCTAGAACAAACACTCTGGTGGTTGTATCTGATGCTGTTTGGGAAATACACATGTTTGCCAAATGAACAGTCCTGGGAGTGAGCTTATAAAGCTAAGAGTGATAGTCTTGTTCTTTACCCCAGTATCAAACAAGGGATTAAATCAAACTGATAGTCTCTTTGAGCAAATAGACTAATTTTCTTTACCTTGACTTTTTCTATATTGATCTCTAATTTTCTTCACCTTGACCTTTTCTACGTTGATCTCTATACAGTCGTGTCCCATCTTCTGAAGTAAGAGTTAACCTTTCTGATCTCCATAAATTTATACTGATTATCTGATAACAGATATTTTCTGATAGGTAGTCACTACAAGCTTAGAGAGAGGATACTTGTCCAGTACTTAAATTGCTCCATGTCTGAAAACATAATGTAAATTCAATCAAGTAATTAAATAAACTGACTTTCAGGGTGCCTGGGTGGCTCAATCAGTTAAGCATCTGACTCTTGATTTTATCTCAGTTATGATCTCAGGGTCCTGGGATGGAGCCCCAAGTCAGGCTCAGTGTGGAGTCTGCTTGTCCCTCTCCCTCACCCTCTGCCCCACCCACTTTCACATGGAGTTTATGAAATCAGTCTTATGCCTTTATATATTTGCATTAGTTTACTAAGGCTGCCATATAAAGTACCACAAGCTGGGTGGCTTATTTAAACAAACATTTATTTTCTAATAGTTGTAGAGGCTGGAAGTCCAAGATGAAGGTCGTGGCAGACTTGGTTTCTCCTGAAGTCTCTCTCTTCTTAGCTGTAGATGGCTATCTTCTTGCTGTGTCTTCACATGATCTTTTCTTTATATGTGTACATCCCTGGTGTCTCTGCTTCTCTCTTCTTATAAGGACACTGGTCATATTGGATTAGGACCCCACTCTTACCTATCTCCAAATATAGTCATCCCAGGAGCTAGGGCTTCAACATATGAATTTGGAAGAGAAGGAAACAATTCAGTCTATAATAGTACTTTTGCCTATGAGGCTGGCTTTCTAGAAACCAGTACTAGGAGGTAAAATGGCAAAGAACTTGGCAGCCAGAAACTGTTTTAGATTTAAATACCAGTACCTTCATTTATTGGTTTTTAGTCCCCCTCTTTGGTCAAGATACTTAAGTTTTCCAGATCTTATCTTGCTCATCTGTGAAGTGAGATCTGTCTGCTACTACACAATAAAATGATGCATATTAAATAAAATAAGGTGCATAAAGTACATATCTTATAGCAGAGTTTCATAACCTCAGAACTATTACTATTAGGGCCTGAACATTCTTTGTTGTGGGGCCAGAATTGCCTGCCCCCACCCACTGAAAATCACTGCCAACTTCCTGGCACAAGAGTACTTAATAAATGTCAGCTGTAAGTTACTTACTGAGTAATCAAAAAGACTATGCAACATTAGAGGTGTTAATAGGCAAATTCATAAAGTAACTCCACTTTTTGTGTATAAATTAATTGAATCTCTGGTGAAGTGAGACTTCTTTTAAATGACGATTAACTTTTTGAGTCCATATTTAATGATCTAATTATTTCCTTTGCATCTAAAGAAATCTGAATTGTATCTTTCAACTTTTTTTCTACCAAGTTTTATTTTATTTTTAAGATTTCCAAACATACACATATGTTGAAAGACTGTTACAGTCACCCATCGCCAAGATTCACCTGGTTGTTAACATTTTACCACATTAGTTTTCTCTTTCTGGAATGAATTTATACAGCCAAAGAGGGAAAGTGGGAATGGTTTGTGTAAATAACTCAGATATGATTCATAGTAAAGTATCCTCTTCATCTTTCTATCCAATTCCACTTATCATTCTAGCAATAGACTTCGTATCTACAGGAGTGCACAGATAATTCAGTTTGAGTACTTGCATCAAAAGTGTACACTTAACAGTTTTTTTTTTTTTTGAGTTTTGCTTCATAGGCATAATATCTATTCTGAGACGGATTTCTGTCTACCCCCTACAGTGATAATTGTCAGTAGTTTAAATTGTCACCTATTTGGGGAAGTTTCGTCTTACTGCTTTTATTTCTATTTTCTCTGTGTCACAGAGACAGACATTCTCTGTCTCTGAATTCTCTGATCACCTTTGACCCACTGAGTAAAAATTCCAAATTGTATTTGAAATTTTGATAGTCTCTGTTATTCCTGAATGAGGAATATGCAAACATTAATTCTTAGTCATGAAAATCTAAATTTATAAAAAAGTACTGGTTATTGGACTTACAGTACCTTTTTTCATTAGTGAACAGTTTCTCGGAATTTCTAAAAATAGATCTGAAAACAAATATGGGAAAACATTGTAATGCTTGTGCAAATTAAGGAATTTCCACTTTCTTTATTGGTAGCTTTTGAAACTGTTTTTGAAGAAAACTATATCACATTTTAGTTACTTAAACCTTAAATCACCAAACAAATTTTTCATATCTCATATGCCTGATAGGACCCTGGAATCTCTTGAATGAAAAATTCACATTTGTGATGCTCAATCTACTATTTACATTTAAACCTAGTCCTATAATGAAAATATAATTATGAAATAATTTTAACCTACAACTGAACAGTTTTATGACTGTTAAATCTGCCTAATACATTGTTGTCTGTCACACTTATTTTCCTCCATCCCTATCCCAGCTCATCTTGCATGTAAAAATACTCATAAAATCTCAGTGACTAAAATAGTTTATAGTGATCTTATAGTCAGTCTATCTCCAGGTAGATAAACATTTCATCCTGGATATATAATTTAATCGATTTGGAAGTGGAAGAAAGTAGTAGTCAATAAACTGTAGTTGTAAGGATGTAAGTTGGGACCAATTGGATGGATATATACACATATTTAACTATTGGATGGTATTTGTTTCTGGTGAAGCAGCCATTACTCATGAGCAGGATAGCATTCACTTCCTCCCAGTGGTCGAATCGGGCAAACTCTGAGCAAAGTAAACTCCTGCGCCAGATCCTGCATTCTCTTAACCGGTAATAAAGAACCTTGCTGGCCTGACAGGTTGTCACAGCAATTATTCACATGAAGTTCTGTAGCAGTTGTATCTGTCAGCCCATGTAGTATTGAATATTTTAACTGGCAGTCTTCCAAGACTGAACATTAATCTTACCATCTCCTATTACAGTCCCTAATCAAGATATTCCAGGGGTGATTGCACTAACATTGTTTGAAGACTACATCTACTGGACTGATGGGAAAACCAAGTCACTCAGCCGTGCCCATAAAACCTCGGGAGCAGACAGACTCTCACTGATTAACTCATGGCATGCCATCACAGATATCCAGGTGTATCATTCTTATAGACAACCCGATGGTAATTATTCTTTCCATGATTTCCATAAGCACATCCACATCTTTTAGTAACATTCCATTTTTGTTTCCTCCATGGTTAAGTGTAAATTTATTTTTGAGAAAGAGTACCAGATTTCCTTATTTAGCTTAACTGTATAGGATGAATTGGATTGATTTCAAGTTTGTCTATTAAGGAATATGATTAGAAGATCAATAATAGTATAGAGAATTATTAATTTGTTGAAATACTCAGTTGAAATGATAATCAATGTAGTTAGAGAAGTAGAGAATGCATTCTTGAAATGATTTCTTAACAAAATAGTTATAGGATCCTTACTTTCTGGAATGCTGTGTGACAGGAATTATATTTAAGTATCTCTGGGGCTCTAAGAAGGAGAAATATATCAAGTTTTTTAAGCATATGTCTAGTGGAATTCTGTCAGGTCTTATGCAATAAAAGTTTGATTATTTTGCTTAAGCCACTATTTGGCTTATAAAACAAAGCCATCTACACTATCAGTTGTAGATCATTGCTTCATTGTTTTATTTTACATTTATAATTCTAAACATATGTATGTTTTCATCCAAAATGCTTCTCTCTATATTCTGATGGACAATTTTTTTTCTACTAAAATGCTTGTTTTTGTGGAACTACATCCTTAAAATTATTTAATGGTAAAATAAATACCATTGGGCAATGAATAGAATTTACAACAGAATACAACTATATTTATGACCTTGCTGATTCCTTGATTACAAAATTCTACAGGCTATGAAGTTTAAATGCCCTGTTTCTAATCCCATATTATATTTTGGTCTTGATTTTTCTGTTTTGCTGTTTCTTTCTCATCTGTAGTCTCCAAACATCTCTGTATGATAAATAATGGTGGTTGCAGTCATCTGTGCCTTTTAGCCCCTGGAAAGACTCATACCTGTGCATGTCCCACCAACTTCTATCTTGCAACTGACAATAGGACTTGCTTATCCAATTGCACAGCCAGTCAGGTAAGTAGAGCCCTAGAAATTATTTCATAAAATGTATCATCAAGCTGTTATAAAGATTTTGCCTGCATTTTGTTTATTGGCTTAAACCACTTGGAAACATCATTTTTTGTTGTTTAGCATAGTATGATGAACTTCCCATACATCATATAGAGAGTCATAGGGTAAGGGAAAAACAATTGATATCCTGAGAACGAGACCTCAGGAAATAGGAGATACAAATAGAGGCCAAAAAGAGAAAACAAACCTGGAAACCATTTTTACACAGCTCCACACAAAGTAATGGTCCAAATCATGAATGGACATAGCAGAATCATTAGATGAGATCAAACATATTTCAAGAAGGCAGGGTAATTGTGGCATAGGGTGAAGACTAAGATATATGCAGTTTAAACCAATAAATCTTCCTAGATAATCTGCTATGTCACCATATATACTCCCCTCCCATCCCTTAACAAAGGATATGTATGGAAGAGATGAATTGGACAAAAAGTCAATTTTCTAAATTTTTTATTAAAAAATTATATGATCTAAATAATTTCCTTCCCAAACTCTTTTTCTTCAACATGTAATTATTTCTAGTAAAGATTTTAAAATGTATGCTCAATAGTATTTAGTTGCATGGACTTGATATTACTACTTACAAATTTTGGGTGATAGATGACATTATAAGATTTGATTTTTTTATATTTGAGTTACTCTGTTATATAAGATAAAATTGTCAAAGGAACCATGATTTGTTTTGAAAATGTCTAAAATTTGTTCTTAGAATTCTGTGGGGTGGGGTATTTATTTTTTATTTAAAAAAATATATATATATATATTTGACACACACACACACACACACACACACACAGAGAATAGGCATGGGGAGTGGCAGGCAGAGGCAGAGGGAGAAGCAGGCTCCCCACCTGAGCAAGGAGCCCCATGTGGAACTTGATCCAGGACTCTGGGATCATAACCTGAGCTGAAGACAGACACTTAACCGACTAAGCCACCCAGGCATCCCAGAATTTTGTGGTTTGACTCTGCTGGTTTCCCAATTTTAGCAGTGACTTCATGGTAAAACACTGAATTTATCTTTGGGTGTGTTTATTTTCAGAACAGAGAAGCTAATACTAGCTCACCCAGTTTCTCAAGTTATCACTAGGAGTATCACCAGTAAAGAACTGTATAATGCAAAACATCAAACCGCTTTGTGGTAGACAGTAGGTGTAGTGGTTAAGGGTACATTCACTGGGACTGTCACCCTGACTCTGCTTGAAATTGGCTGAATAATCTTGGGTTTGTTACTTACCTTCATGATGCTTCCGTTTTCTCATCTTTTGAATGGAAATACTAGTATTTCCAGGCCACTCTTATGGAGATTAATGGGAGAAGTTCCTGGTACGTAGTAAGTGTTGTTATTGCCCGTGTCCTGGGGTCCAACTAGAACACATGCAAGGATGTGTGTGTAATTAGTGTGAGCTGCCGTCAGGAGGTTCTGATGTTTATTGGAAGCACAGGTCACAGTTTCTTCTTTTTTTTACAAAGTGTATTGTTTTAATTATAATCCCCCAAGCATTTGTGTAGGTAAAATACTTTTTCTTTAGAGAACTAGAAATTTAAGTCACTGTGAAAGACAAAATAAGCAACCTAATTATTCCTAGAAAGAAAATCTAAGGGAGAAATCCTAGGTTCTTAAAACTTTTAAAATATAATTCCTGTTAGTACTATTTAGTTTAGAACATGTCCAGTTTAAACTCAAAGTTATTCTGAAATAACTTGGTCCCTTGTTGGGGGTGAGATACAAGAGTCTCTCTGTTGGTGCCTAACACTGTGGCCTTAGGTGACTTAGTAGAAATTATGATGCCTGCCTGAGCCTCTTACACAGTGGAGAGCCTCTATAGCCAACCAGAAATAGAGCAAAGCCAAAGGATGCTTGACACACAGATGAATATCTCAAAACAGCAACCTTCCCATAATCATAAAGGGAATAAAAGATTTCAAATTATTATATAAGAAAACCTAATTAAGAAAAACGTAATTATGTCTATTCAATGCCAAAAAAATCAGATCAGCTAAATGAATACCTAAATCAACCCAGAAAAATATTATTAATATAATTAAATTATCTCTCAATTTGGTATTACTGATGATATGATTAAAATATATAAAAAGCTTTTAAATAGCCCAATAGTGTTTTTATAAGAGTTTTTTTAATTTAAAAAAAATTCTACTATAGTGAGACAGAACACTAACAATAATAACACAAATTGTGAATCATATATCTTTGCTGTCAGCAGTACGTCCTAAAGAAAAGAGTTATCATTCATTTCATTTTTACAAAAAAGTTAATGAAGAGCGTTCATGTAATCCATTAGTAGAGATCCCAGTATGTCTTAGGGTTTATGCAGCCATTTACTGCTGATTTTTTCCTGATGTGGTGAGAGAAAAAACTATCTACTATATATTTCTTGGAGAAAAGTCAGTTGATAGAAACACAATTTAAAATGAGGTTTGAAATTGAAATGAAGCAGATAATCCAAGTATTCAGAATCATACCAGTTAGCATCCTGATAAAAATGTTACATTTTAAATTTATCTTACTACAGGATTTTTAAATTTTTTTGCATCTAAAGATATATCCCCTGAATAGCATTGACTTTTAGAAAAATAAAATAGGCAAATCACACCAGTAAGAATTCTATTAGAGTTGAAATGAACATGAAAATCCTTTTAAAATCAAGATTAAATCCAATTATTATGGCACTTATCACTTTAAATATCAAATTTAAATCATTTTTATTTTTAATAAAAAATAAATTAAAAATAGCTTTACTTAGTTTTTAGGTGGAGATTTTTCTGTTGCAAGTAAACCTCACTTGTGTATGCAGGATTTGCATTTTATACTTGTATCCATTTTAATAGACATGTATTTAGTAGTTTCTTTATAGCTTCTTCTTGTGGGTGATAATTGCAGTTCGCAATTTATTTTATGAAGATATTAGTCTTGGAGAACATTTACCATGAAGAATGTTTTATATTTATATTTAGCATTTATCTTTTTTAAGTTACTGTATTTAAGTATGAAAAAATGAAGCCCAGACACAAAATAGAAGAAATCTTCCTATGAGAATAATGAATAAAATGTTGATTAGCATAAAAAGAAACATAATAAGTATATTTTACCCTGGCCTTCTCTTAGCTCAAAACCTTTTTGTGTTCTTATTAAAAATGAAATGACAAGCACAGTCGTCATGTCACATATAATTCCAACAGTTGGTGTTTATTTAAATTGGGCATATGTAGTGAGTTTTAAAATATGTATTTTAGATATTTTTCAAATATTGATTGGGAAGGCTTTGAATATACTCAGGAGACATGAAATCCTCTTGCTAATGTGCTTTGATATACTGTAATGACTGGAAATGTTTAATGTTCAGGGCAATTGCTTTCAGAGTTAGCCTTATATCCCCAGACAGTCACTATATATAAAGGTGATATTTTTCCTGTGGTAATTTATAAAAACCACCACAGACATGACCACAGGCTAAGCAATTATTCATAGTGCTCTATTTCCTCCCATATCTCTACTGGGGGGAAAAATCACACCCTTATTTAAGAAAATAATGTAGATCTGCCTTATATCAACTTCATGGTATCCAGAGAGATTAAGCAAAAGCTAGCATCAAATTTTCTCTTACTTGAAGAAAGTAAGAGTACTTTAAATGAACAAACTTTTAGCTTGCTAATCTATTGCATTAGACTAAATTGGCAAATATTGAAGTTTAGTAGAAACAATAATTCTGTGCTTTGTTTCAGGAGAAGAATTTGAATTCAGACACCTTTCTTATAAAAAATCCAATAATAACCTTCTGTAATATTTTTCTGGTAATATGTTACATGTGTGCTAAGTAGCTTATAAGTAAATACTACCATATAACATTTTCAACTAGTTTCTCTGTTTTTAATCTTCCGTTTGATATTTATCTCAAAAGAAAGGGGTTTAAAAAAAAAAACTTTCTTACTTCTGTAAATAATGGAATTTCTTTTCTTATAATTTTTAACTATTTATTTTATTTTATTTTTTAAAGATTTTATTTATTTTTTGACAGACAGAGATCACAAGTAGGCAGAGAGGCAGGGGTGGGGGGGGCGGGTAAGGAAGCAGGCTCCCTGCTGATGCTCCACCCCAGAACCCTGAGATCATGACCTGAGGTGAAGGCAGAGGCTTAACCCACTGAGCCACCCAGACACCCAATTTTCAACTGTTTTAAGTGGAAGGGATGATAGGACAAATAAAACACATTAATAGGGGTGCCTGGGTTCTCCACTGAGTGGGGAGTCTGCTTCTCTGCCTCTCTTCCTCTTCCTCCGCCCCTACCCCTAAAGTGCTCAGGCTCTCTCTCTCTCTAAAATAAATAAACAAATCTTTGAAAAAAAAAAACAAACCACACTAATAAATATGTCAGTGAATAGTTTTTTTTTATAATCTTAAGAATAAGTTTTATTACAGCAGTTTTCTTTAGTGTTATATTTAAAATATACAATATTCAAAAAGATATTCAGCAAAAAATTTGTTGCACCCTTTTTTTTTTTTTTTTTTTTTTTTTACTGTTTTTTGATTTGCAAATGTTCATTTTAACTTGGAGAAACCTACTATTTGCTAAGTTCTTTGCCAGGCTTTGTGGGGAGGATGTAGCATAGGGTGGTAAGTCTTTGACCAAGATTAGCATTAACATTCCTCAGCTTGAAGAACCTTTGGACAGTTTCTTCCTGACTGTAGGTCCCTGAGTCCCTTTAATTAGAGCATTCACTTTAGAAAACTTGCAATTGTGGATTATTTCTCTGCCCTTTTGAGATGTAAATTTTCTCCCAGCTTTTTGCCAGTTTTACAGTTTAGGAATGTCTTCCTGGAGGACTGGGAACCATCCCCTAGAGATTTAATCATCAAGAAAGATAGTCCCTGACTATCTTGGTCTCTATGGGAAGGTTGGAGCCCACCTTTGATAAGTACAGTCTAGCAAATACAGACAGCCTAATCATGTTAACCAACATCCTCCATACTTTTCCATTAGTTTACCTCTAAGTTTCAACCTACCCCCACTTTTTGTTTCAGTGGAGTTCTGTTCACTCTCTTTCCCCTATTGCAAGTTTTAAACAAAGTCTTCCTTGCATGTTTAGCTATCTAGTGCAATTTTTGTACCTATTTTTTAGTTGTGACAGTTTATTTACCCTCAAAGATCATGTATATTTATTAGGAATTCTGAAAACTGAAAATAGCTGTACCAGTTTTAACTGCTTTAAAGAAATATTCTTAAAACTTATTTGGGCAGATATTCATTATGGCTAAAGGCAGTATGTTCAGAAAGTTCCACGGAATAACAGCATGACAGTGCCAGAAAAGATCATCCAGATTATATTTAACTCCTCATTTGGTGGCTAAGGAATAGAGATAGAGAGATGTTAATACAATTGTCTAAGATTCCTAAGAAAATACAGTTCAGTTAACTTAATTTGAATTAACTAAATTAATTCAACTTTTCAGTACATTCAGGATAACTGTTCCTGATATTTCTGGTGATTTTTAGCCCTCTTCAGCATTTGCCATGCTTTCTGTAAAGGCTCAGATAATAAGTATTTTAAATTTGCTGGCCACATGGTCTCTGTAGCAACTACCTAACTTCTTGTGGTGCAAGAGCAACCAGCAGCCGTAGATCATATGTAAATGAGTGAGCTTGTCTGTGTTCCAGAAATCTCAGGAGGTTTTCCTGAACAATGTGCTTTCCTGGAAGATCATTTTGCTGCTTGTTGTGCATTTATTCCCTATTGTGGAATGCTCTAAGACCACCACAGTTAACATTTGCAGCGAGAGTGTAGGCTAGGCTACTCTGCCCTGGTAAATTTTTAAATATCAATTTTATATCGGGGTAGGGTTCTTCAACTTTTTTTTTTCTTTCTTTTTTTTCTATTTTTTTTTAAAGTTTCGGTGCAAAACTGATAAATGTATTCCATTCTGGTGGAAATGTGACACTGTGGATGACTGTGGCGATGGATCTGACGAACCTGACGACTGTCGTAAGTACACTGCTGATATGTGGGCATTCAGAATTCAGAACTCTTTAAATCCCAAACACTGAAAATTGAAGAGAGACCTTAAGTATAACCTTCTGATACTTTTTCAAAATCTTTAAAAATACAACCAAAATTATTAACAATCTCTTGAGTATGTCTCCGTTAACTGTTACATTTAGAATGACATCATCAGCAATTTATGTTAGTGTTTTGTTTTAAATTTTCTTACTTACAGAAAAATTACACTCTTTGTGTAATGATCAGCATAAATAACAATCAACATGATTTTGCCTGGATATATCACCAAATCAAAAGCAAAAAATGGCAAGTTTGTAGAATGCCAATCAATAACTAAGATCTTACCTTTAAGGGATCAATCTTCACAGTGTTAAAATACTGAACATTCTTTAAACGTGAGATTTTTTTTCCAATATAAATCATTAGTTTGTTCTACTAATAATTTAGTATGCTCTTAGGTATTCCTTAAAATGACTGCTAATTTTACTTTGACTCAAATTGTGATTGGAATGGTTAGATGCCAAATACATACATACATACATATATACATACATACATACATATAGGTAGGTATACCCATATAAGAGTGTGTGTGTGTGTGTGTGTGTGTATGGCTTATGTATATGTTCACATATGTGTATATACATTTATTTATCTTTGGTAACTTCTGTTGTAATGGACAATCAGTAAATTTTTTCTTGATAGTCTTTTGTAGTTCACACCATAGGTCACTCCAATACAATCCTATCAAGTTGAAGATGCTTATATTTGATCATGATAATTCCCTCAAATCTCGGTGGATAGTTGCTATGATTTGGCCTTAACAATTGAGTTCAAGATCCTTAAGCTTACACTAAAGAAAGACAGTATACTAAGTAAAAGCTAGTTACTTTCTGCTGTAGAACTTTCCACCACATAATTACAAAAACTGTTCTAACCTTAGGGTCTCTAGATAGTTACTTAGATGAGATGTATTTCATCTCTCTGGTCACTACAAAGCATATAAACCATTTGAAGTTGTTTCACATTGTTCATTGTTTTCATTTGAAAACAGCTAATAATATATTCAAGAAAAAGGAAAACAAGTTACAGAAATCATTGCTTTTCTAATATTCTTCTTATGTTTTTGAAAGGTCCATTGGTCTTTGATTTTTCAATATAGTTTCTGTTTTCACTGTGATAGACAATACATATGAGTAGTTTTTATATGATGTAAATATACTATTATGCCTGAATTATATTTGAATTCAAAGGGCTATCAAAGGAACAAATTATATTGGCGACCAACTGAGATTTACTCATTAAAAGAAAGTTACCGATTTCCCTGCAATAAAGTAAACTTTTAACAATATAATAAATAAAATGAACACAACCTATTTTGTAATTTATAGAAATAACGAAGAACAAATACATTAAATGATTCCTCATATTAGGATGACTTTCCCTGCCCAGATTCACTGAAGTGTTCTCTGAGAAATACCTCCATGATGACTTGCAGACACAGTCAGTGGCTCCCAATGCTTTCCCTTCTAAACTATCTGCAGCTCTTTAGCTCTAACTTTCATCTTGACTGGAGTATCATGCTGTAACCATACTGATATAAAAAAATAACCAAAGATTTTCATATTTATGCCCTTTGAAAATATATGATGAAAAAATATAACTTTAATGTCTTTTAAGGGGAAAGCAAAGAGACATCTAGTATCTAAGAGTCTCTGTATCATCCTTATCCTACTAAATACCAGTACTACATGTTTTATTGGTGACATTGTCTCTGTGATCTTTTAGTAAATAATCTTTTACTTGGGTTAATAGCACTGAACGTCTGTAGGCATGAAGCCTTGTTTTGAGTGTTATGGTGAGGTAGGTGGGAAGTGATGTACATGAGTCTGTGGACTGTCTAGAATTCATATTTGAGTAGCTATATCTTCAAAATTTGCAGGTACTAAGTTACTGAGAGTCTCAATAATTTAATCTGAAAAGGCATGAAAGGTTAAACCCAGTTTCACATACTTGCAAACTTCAATAATGTTGTTTAAATAAATGTGGTTAAGAGTGATGCATCATGAATTCTCTGGCATCTTAAGTTTTTAACTGTATTTTCTATGATGCTCTAGTACACAAAAGATAATTCTGCAGGCACATTTGAAGGTAAGATAGGCTTCCCAGCTATCTTCCAGGCATTGAAACTCCTCTGATAGTTAGAAATCTTATGGGAAGGTTTTTTTTGGTAGAGGACCATCCTTTGCTACCAAAATTCAAGAAATCATATGTGATTTCAAGAAAAGCATATATGAAGCAACAAAAAATAGAAGAAATGCATGAGTTTAGAATGTGAGAAATTAAGTATCACACAGTTTTAACACTTAGTGTGGTTTACTAAGAAATGTTAGAAATTGAATGACTTTCAACATTTTAGGCCTCACTTCTATGGAAGTCAATCACATATTGAGTTATTTTTTTAATGTTAAGGAAATTTTTACTTAAGATTGTAATTATAAAAGCATAATTAATTTCCCAAAGAAAGTTTAAAATATCACTATTAATATTCATTCAGTTGACTTATCTGAACTACATACATTAGGATTATCAGTCAAAAGGTAAGTATTTTATTGCCAAGCAATATAGTTTGTGAGAAGACTCAGAGTCAGATCTAGATCTAATTTCCATATCTGGCACTTGAAACTTGTACATACTTGAATGAGTTATTAAAATCCATGAGACCTAGTTTTTTCATTTATAAAACAGTTGTGGAGATATTGAGGTGAGAAGGTTTTGATGAGATTCAGTTAGTACTTCTTTGTGAAAGTGTGTCACCCAGTGTTTGATACAGAACAGATATTCAATAGAGCCTACTTTATTATGATGATTATTGTTATCATTATTTCATATATAAACTAAGAAATATGGCAAAGATGCATTATCATCTTGGATTTCTCACTGTTAATTTGTAATATTTAATCTGGAGGCCATCTGAGTTGCTCATAACCTGGTCATACTGTACATCTGAATCCAATAGCTACTAAGTATGAGACATTACGGTGTGCTCTAGGGTATGTTTAATATAATGAAATAATAAATACCCATAACATCAGAAAAGCTCTATTTAAGAGGTCATGAGCAAAGCTTGGCATTCAATGATACCAGTCTGTTTTCTCCCCTAGCTGAATTTAAATGTCAGCCAGGCCGGTTTCAGTGTGGCACTGGGCTCTGTGCTCTGCCAGCTTTCATCTGTGATGGAGAGAATGACTGTGGTGACAATTCTGATGAACTCAACTGTGGTAGGTGATTAAATTCTTAACCAAGGAACATAAGTCCAATTATTACCTGATTTTGTCTGCACCAATTTAAATGCAGGCACAGTTTTCAGTGCAGATTTGTTGTTGTTCTTCTTTCTTTCTTTTAGACACACATGTCTGCCTGTCAGGTCAGTTCAAGTGTACAAAGAACCAAAAATGCATCCCAGTAAACCTCAGATGTAATGGACAAGACGACTGTGGGGATGAAGAAGATGAAAGGGACTGTCGTAAGTCACCTCAGAATGTTCCAACTTGTCTTACTTCTGAGTCTCAGCTGACATGGGTCTAAAATTTTTTATTGTGTGCCATACATCCGCACAAGGTAGAAAAATGTAACAGCAATTATGGAACATATACCTCCAAATTGGCACCTTGGGGGATGGGTTACTTAAGAAGTGCCCTGTGAAGGCTTTAAAGAAAATTAAAACATGTGTGGTCTTTACTTAGATAGCTACCTAAAGATTACAACAAACATTAAACAACGAATATTCATTCAAATCATCCTTAAGAGAAGCAACAAAACAAACATTACAGGTGACTGTGGTTTTTTATTCATAAATTGATTTTTTTTGCCCACATTAAGCAGCTACAAATAATTTTCTTCTGTTGATTAGTTACTTGAAATCAACTCCATTAGTTAGAGATCGTTTCCCCCCATAAAATACATGTCGAATGCATGATGAGAAAATCTGAGCAAAAAAACCTAACAAAATTATTTGTTAAAAAATGTAAATAATACTGTTTAATGTATCTTTGCCAGCTACTTCAAAGAACAATAGTAAAATATTTTCTACTCTTTTCACCTCTTCTTTCCATCCCCCACCAAAAATCAAACAGATTCAATGGAAGGCAAAACAATTTCCAGCATATACATACATGCACGTAGGCAGACAGGCATGCCCACACGAAAACCCAAACACACAAAATACGAGCAATAAAGTACCTGTCAAGTTTCAGGGTTTCAACAGAACTGCTGTCAACGTTTCTGTCTTGCTGAAGTTTTATTTTATTCCCCTAAAACTTTTATCAGTAAATAATGTGCAGTCATCCAGCAATTTGATTAAGATGGTGCATTCAGAATAAAGTCAGTACCAGTTCTTTATGGTTAGTCATTCCAAGAGCTGATCCATTAAACTGACTAGGATTTGTGAGGCAGTTTGCAGTTTAAGTCAGATGTTCACACCTTCCCTCAAAAACTCAACACAACTAGAGATTTTGAGAAGTTTGATGCTTTTTAGTTCCTGATTCACAAATAACTTCTGATTTTATTATTCTTCTATTTATAGAAATGCATATGTATAAATTCTTACATTTATTTGGTAAAATTATTCACAAAGTTTCCAAATTATTTGTTTTTAAAATTGATTTCAAAATATAGCTAATCAAGGGAGGCTTGTATCAAGAACTCTGATTTTTATCAAATGTATCATTATAGAAATATGTTTTATTTCTTTCTACTGGGAAGGATATTTGGAATACATCATAGATAATGAAAGTTAAAACCCTTCACCTTCAGAGCCTTATTAATTAAAAGATAATATATGTCCAGTTGACTTTCTTAAGCATTTGTTCCTCTGATTGATTGTTAGATAAAATGTCTGTTCTTGTTCAAAGCTGCATTTTAATACATGTTTTCCTCTTAAGCTGAAAACAGCTGTTCTCCAGACTATTTCCAGTGTAAAACAACTAAACATTGCATTTCCAAGCTGTGGGTTTGTGATGAGGATCCCGACTGTGCAGATGCATCAGATGAGGCCAACTGTGGTGAGTGTTTTGTGACCCCGGATCGTACCTATTGTATTTGTGTCATCATCTGACATGGCCGCAGTGAAAGGAATTTGAGCACAATTCTGGTGAAACTAAGGTCTCACATGAGAAAGTTTTGTCCCTGTGTTCACAGAGTCGTAGCAACCTGCTTTTTTGTTAAAAAAAAAAAAAAAAACAACTCAGGTTAGCTACTTTTACCCATAGAAAGGTAAGGCAGAAGAGTAATACTGCTGAAAATGACTCAAAACTATTTCTAAAAAGGTGGATCTAAAAGATAGGCTAAACTCTCATCTTCCTGTCTTGTATGCCTGTGGCATTAGTATTTAATGAATGGAAAGAATGAGACATTGTCTTTGTATTGTTCCAGACTTTTTTTTTCTTTTCTTTACTTTTTTTTTTTTTTTTTGCTTAAATACATATGATTTTCCAGTCATGCAATGATTACTGGTTATTCTTAAACATGGTGAAAGTAAGGGAGAAGATAATACAAGTATCTGTTCTGTTTTAATAGATGACAATGATCATTTAAGTTAACATTTGTTTCTGAAACACTTATCTTTTTACTTAAAATCAAATACTTTTATTTACAAGAATTATTCCTTAATTAACATTGCAGAAATGGCAAACATATTTGTTTTGTTTAATGCATTTCTTACTATCTTGAAAGTGTCAACAGCAAGACAGAAATGAAGAATAATTGTCATGTGTAGTTCATGCTATCAACATTTATTAAACACTAAAAGAGCCTATATTGTAGGTGAATACACCAAACTTGGCATTGTTGGGGAAGCAAAAAAATATTTAATCTAGTAATTGATTAAGAAAAGCAAAGTTTGGAGCACCTGGGTGGCTTAGTCAGTTAAGCGCCCAGCTCTTGATTTTGGCTCAGGTCATGATCTCAGGATTGTAAGATGGAACGCCTTGTCGGACTCTACACTAGGCATGAGGCCTGCTTGGAATTCTCTCTCTGCTTCTCCTTCTGCCCCTCCCCTACCTTCTAAAAAAAAAAAAAAAAAAAAGAAAGGAAGGGTTTATTCAAACTGAGTATAGGACTTCCAGGTTTCATAAACAAAATTGTGTTAAATGCATCTGCTATATTCCACAATGCTCTTAGTGAACTCTTCTGAGGAAAAAGGAAATAATGAAAAACCTTTATGTTCTCTGAAACTCCATTTATACTGAACAACATTCATGGTCTATATGTGTAATAATTGACATTCATGTGTCTTTAAGTGTTTTTCCCAATACTGTCTCCCATATGTCTTCAGAACATGAAAAAATAAAAAAAAAAAGCTTATCATAGTATCAAGAACCCCATTTACCACTTTGTGAAATTGGTACTCATCAGTTCACAAAGCCTCAAAGTATAGTCATCACTGATTATCAAGGACTTTTACAGACTAGTTTATATTACTGGCAAGTTTGCTCTGTTGTCTTTAGTATTTTTTGGTTTACTGAAGCAAAACGGAATAATGACTTATGTTAGCTATATGAAGATTTTTCTGGAATATCTATAATTTGTTCCTTATGATAATGTGATTTAACTGTTGCGGTATATTATACTGTTCGAACTGATAATTATTGATCATTATAATAACCATAATTCCCAATATTTGCTGTGTTTGCCATATGGCCCAGAAAATGTGTTAAAGGCTTTATATTCATTATTTCATATAATCCTTTACTATCCTCATTTTATTGGTGTGGTAAAAGAGCCCCAAGGAGGTTATATAACTTACTTTCATGGCTAGTAGATGGTGGAATTGGAACTTGAATCCAGGGTTATTTCACAATAAAGCATTTACTCTATGAACATAGTATAAAGCCACCTCATTCTTTAAAAATAAATAAATAAATAAAAATAAAAAGATTTTATTTATTTATTAGAGAGAGGACTCATGTGTGCACAGTCACAGGCACCAGTCGGGGTATGGAAGAGGGGAGAGGGGTGGGAGAGGGACAAGTGCCCAGTGCAGAGCCCCACACAGGGCTCGATCCCTGGACCTCAATATCATGTCCCAAGTTAAAACTAAAAGTCAGACAGGTAATTGACTCAGCCACCCAGGTGCCCCTAAAGCCACCTCATTCTTTATGTGTAAAGAGAAAAATATTTAAATGTTTCCTGTTATAAAGTTATATAGAATTCTCCTGGCCATAGTCATTGTTGTGAATTCCTGACCAGTATACAAGCACATATATACATACAGTAAGGAGAGAAGAGGCAGGAAGGTTGAATCTGATTTGCCTTAGATCCAATATAAAATTTTATTGTGGGCATGCACTAATTTAATTTAAAAAAACCTTTCTTTTATAAGATTGTGTTTATATATATGTGTGTTTGTTTGTTTGTTTGTTTAGAGTGTGAGAGAGAAAGAGCACCAGCTGGGGAGTGCGGGGGGCGGGGAGAGGCAGAGGGAGAGAATCGCAAGCCAACTCTGCATTAAGCCCATCCATCTACCCTAAGTGGGTAGACTGATCTGGGCTTGATCTCAAAGCCCTGAGATCATGACCTGAGGCGAAATCAAGAGTCAAACACTTAACAGAATGAGTCACTCAGGCACCCCAATTTAAAAAATACTTCTACATACATTACAGTTTAGTATAGCATTCCTCAATCTTTATTCTTTTTTTTTTTTTTAAGATTTTATTTATTTATTTGACAGAGAGAGATCACAAGTAGACAGAAAGGCAGGCAGAGAGAAAGAGAGATTAGAGAGTCCGATGCGGGACTCGATCCCAGGACCCTGAGATCATGACCTGAGCTGAAGGCAGCGGCTTAACCCACTGAGCCACACAGGTGCCCCTCAATCTTTATTCTTAATGGCCTAAAAAAAACTACCTCCTTCTCCTTTCTTCTGTCTTCAATAAATGTAGAAATGCCATGTATTTTTACTAAGTCTGTTAAAACCTTTGTGGGATAGTTCACCTTTTAATACTTCCATTGAGTGGGAAAAGAAAAACACTTCTCTCTCTCTCTCTCTTTTTTTTTTAAGATTTTATTTATTTATTTGTCAGAGAAAGAGAGCACAAGCAGGGGGAGTGGCAGGCAGAGGGAGAAGCAGGTTCCCTGCTGAGCAAGGATACCCCCCACCCCATGCAGGACTTGATCCCAGGACCCTGGGATCATGCCCTGAGCCAAAGGCATGTGCTTAACCAACTGAGCCACCCAGGCGTCCCCAAACACTTCCTAAAGATGAACTCTATCAAATTAAGTCCTTATTATTTGAATCTGAATTACACATGTTTTTGTGGGAACAGACCTTGCCTAGAATAGAAAGCAAATTTCACTATTTGTCATGTTGAGTATCCTCAGAGCCTCACAAGATATAAAACAGATTTGCATGAAGTGCTATTGAGTGACTGAACTATTCTCTTTTACAAAAAACTTCAATATGCAACTCGTTTCCATTGTTGTTCCCACATACTTCTATACTTTTTTAGTTCACTGCTAAATTTAGGGGCAGATTCCCTTTTACTCTTGGAGTTCACTTAGATCTTACATCTTATTTCTCAGCAGCAATTTATCTACAATTTTAGATCTAATTGGCTTCTGTCAGTTCTAAAGATCTAAAATTGTAATTTGTTCTACCTTGACATATCCTAATTTTCTTTTTTTTTTTTTTTTTTTTTTTTTTTTTTTTTGCTTTAAATTGTATGGATAATACCAATGTAGGGGTTGTGGTTCACTGAGACACTATGGAAAAACCTAACAAAAGAGAGCAGAATAATTTGCAAACAAATAAAATACACATGTAGGACAGGGGATTATAAAAAAAAACCTCTAACGTTTTTTTACTTTTAAATTTATTTTTAAATACTTGTAAATTTATTTAATACTTTTAAAATTATTTAAAATACTTTTAAATACTTTTAAAATTATTTAATCTTTATACTTATTGGAATACCATGTTTATTGAATTCTGCCCAGTGTAATTCTTGAGTTTTTGCAGTTCTTGCAGATTTAACAACTATCATTCAATATGTGTTAAATTTTATGTTAATCTAGAATTTAAGGAGGCCTCAAAACCATTTTGAATAGACATAAATTAAACATAGTTTAGGAATCTTTCTCCAATAGTTTAGTCTTGGTGAGAGTGGATACAAATTTTAAAATTAAATTACATATTTTCCCATCTTATTACACATAGTTTTTGAGATGGCTAAATTTATGTATAAAAACTGCATTTGGCACATTTGGATTTAAATTCATAAATATTTTTAAAACATCTTTTAGCTCTATTTCTGTGTAAGTAAAGATTTAAATCTATGTTATACTCATATTTATGGCAAGATAAGTTCAACTTTGTGAGTTGTTAATAGTTATAAAATCGTTTATTTTTGCTTGAAGGTAAGGTGTTTACTCTTCCTTTGTTATATGCCCTGAGGATTAAAATAATCTTTATAAAATGTAGATCTGTACCTTTTATTAAATTATAGGTGTTCACCCTTCTTGGAAGGCTGTTCCACTACTTATTATAATGTTGGACAAACACCAGATTTGAATGCCTGATCAAAATTTATGCAATACCTCAATTGTAGTAGCTCCAGGAATTTCATTCCAAACTTTCAATTTCAAACTTTCCCCACTTTCTGCCTGCCATTTTCTATTTTAAGAAGGAAATGCAGATTTGGGATTTGACAAATTGGTACTAGATTCTTGCTTCTACTTTGTAGTCAGAGTTGAAACTTTTCTATAATTTAACTCTTATAAGATGATATCAGAATCCATGTCTTTCCATTATGTCCTCTGTCCCCAGTTTATAGCTTACTATCTCTGTTCCTTAGATGTCTATGTGACATTCTCTTTTCATAAGTTGTTCTCTTTTGCTTTCCTGGTCAGCTCTATACTCCCATCACAGCTCTCGGGAACACACTGTCTGCTCTGCCATATTGCTCTTTCCTTTGGCCGTGTTTCTTGCTTTCTTATCTGGTCTCCCTTTGCCTTAGCTAGAATTCTTGATAATTCATCATTTGTTACTTTTGAGCAGTCTTGGTTT